TGCCATGTATGCATGTTTATTTCGAAGCGCCCTCTAGATAAAGAGATTTGATAACCGTCTCTCTCCTATTCACTGGCTTCGACTCATCCAACAAGTTCTATCTCTGTCCGTCATTATGGTCATAAAAAAGCGAGCCTGGGAGCGTTTAAAGGAGAATTGATTTTACCCGCTTTTATGAGTGCACGGAGCGATCACCGCGATATTATCAAATAATTTGTTACAAATGCCGAGAGCAAAAACTTTTATGTTGTTCCGTCGATAACGTTATCCTCCACGTGAAAGCGATATTTTTCATCAGGAAAACTCGACGGCTTTTTAAAAACTTTTTTTTAAATTTCATTTTTTTTTCTTCTTCCCTTTTTTGTGATACCAAACCATAGACGTGGAGATTGATTGAATGATAGCCGCTTTTTCCAATTCTGTGGGTAATGTTTGTTCCTGAATAAGTTAGAGTTGAAAAACGTGTATTCAGCTGTGTATAGATCGCTTGCGCCAGATCATCTTTTCCATCAGGTATTGATTCAAGGATTTGTTCTGTTGAGTTTGTTTTGGTTTTTGTTGTTGTTGTTGATGTTGTCGTTAATGTTGTTGTTTTCTTTTGGAAGAGGGCAGGGTATCTATTTCATCTGTGGCGTCGATAGTCTAGTGGTTAGGCTACCGGACCGTTATCGTCAGATTGCGGGCTCGCGGGTTCCAGCCTAAGCTCTGTCCGACGTTGTGTCTTTGGGAAAGGCAGTTTACACACATTTACGATTTGGATCGGTCCTTTTGGAGGTGGGCGTTTAACTCGGAGGTCCTGCCTCTTGAATAACCCAATTGCTTTGACAGGGGCTTTAAGCCTGGAGCATTTCACTCTTCATTATCTATTTCATCCAAGCAATGGTTGGTTCATTGCTATCTGTTCATCTATAACAATCAAGGAATAGTTGGTTCATTGTTACCTGCTCATCTATTTCATCCGAGAAATGGTTGGTTCATTGTTACCTGCTCATCTATTTCATCCGAGAAATGGTTGGTTCATTGTTACCTGCTCATCTATTTCATCCGAGAAATGGTTTGTATACTGATTCCTGAATTATCACTTTAGTCGATTGGTGACATCGTATTTAGAAGGATTTTTTGTACATCAATTGGTTGCTCTGTGCATGTTCAGATGTATGGGTTAATTGAACGGCTATACTATAGCAGGTTAGCCCTTCGTCGATAAATTCCTGATTGACCAATTGATTAACCTGTTGGTTTATTGGTTTGTTGACTGATCGACCTATAAATCGATTGATTGATTGGTTCGTTGAATTTTTGATTGATGGCTTGGTTGGCACGTTGATTTGTTAGTTGCTTGTTTACTTGCTTGCTTGCTTGCTTGCTTGGGTGATTGATTATTTGACTGATTGCCTCATTGATAGTTAGTTTGGTTGATTGGTTGGTTGGTTCACTGGTTGGATGGTTAATTAGCTTGCTGGTTAGTTTGCTAGTTAGATAGTTGGCATTTTAGTTGTCGAATTAAGTGATAAACTGTCTTATCATTCCCACATCACTCTTTCCTCCACTGACCCAAACAGACATTGAAGGCCATTTTCTGTATAATTTCTTCTTGCAGGAAGCCTGCGTGTTCGTGTTTGAGAAGCGCATAGCGGACAAGCTGCACAAACCACGACGACGGGAAGTTGTCGCCGAAACTCTCCGAAAGGATGTGTCGTATTTGCAGCAGCTCAAACACCCCAAGATACTGGGAGTCCTTCACGGGATAGAGGAGTGCCAGTGAGTTTTTGGTTGTTGTGTATATTTTACTAGATTATTACAACCCTTCTTGCTTTTGTTGTTGTTTTTGATGTTAATGCTGTTGTTGTCGTTGTTGTTGTTGGTTTTGGTGTGTGTATGTGTGTGTGTGTGTGTGTGTGTGTGTGTGTGTGTGTGTGTGTGTGTGTGTAGTTTTGTTTTGTTTTGTCTTTCCATTCTAGT